TGATGGCCCATGAAGACAAAACTAAACAGTTCCTACTGTCACAGTGCCTCCATTCTACCATCACAGGGAAGCAGGAGGGGAAGCAGCAACAATGTGGGGTATCAGAACTGGGGATCAGAAATGGCTTCACACACAAATTCAGTCTGAAATGCAGGTCAGGAGAAAACCTGTGCAAAACCAGGAACTGGCTGGAATGGATGGCGAATGAAGCTGTACTAAGTCTGAAAACTTAGGTGAAGGCCACACTGTGAAGGACTGTACATGTCTACTTAAAGACTGTGTGTTCTAAATTAAAGGCAAGAGGGATCAGGGAAATAGTACCATCCAACATGGACTATAGGAAGGTTATTTTGGCAGCTACTCAGAAAATGCTTCAGGAAGAGAGAGACCACAGAGAAATCCACTTAGGAGGCTGCTGCAACCACCAGGCAAGAGATGGTGAAGGCCTGCATGAAGTGGGTGGCAGTGAGGGCAGAGAAAGGGATGAATGTGAGTGATGCTGGGGACAGAGATTCTACTCAATACGGCAACTAACTGGATGTGGGTGAAGAGGAGAAGGAAAGAGCCAAGGATGACTGGGAGGTTCTAACTCTGAGTGCCTGCAAAGATGATGGCATCCTCAAAAGAAATACAGAAGTATATGCTAGGGGGCAGGTTTGGGGGAAAAGATTATGAGGTCCATTTTAGACATGTCGACTATGAGAAAACTGTGGACATTCAGTGCGAGATATCCAAAAGGCAGTCTATGATCCAGAATGAAATTCAGCTCTATCCATAAATATGGGAGTCATCTGCATAGAAATAACTATTTATCAGTGAGGGCTTATGAGTTCAGAGAAAGAAAATGCAGAAAGAGAAAAGAGCTTGGGACCAAGCCCTGGGGGACAAACAGGGTCACAAAGATAGGAGGCTAACAAGAAGAAAGCAGCTCCTTGAAAACCCAAGGAAGAGCGACCACCTAAGAGATGGAAATAATCACTTGTGTCAAATACTAGAAAATGAAAAAAGAATTCAGGCAAAGTAAACGTTATCAGGCTTAGCAATTAAGTGGTCACCATTCAATTATGTGGCAAAGTGACAAGCTCCAATGAAAAACTGAGACGGAAGTGGGAAAGAAAGAGGAAGAAGAAAAGGAAAGAAGGGAAAAATATAAAACTTTTACTTCTCTAGGAGTCTGCCTATGAGAGGAAGGAAAGTTACATGGCAGTAGGACAAATGAAGGTTTTCTAGGAGGAAAGAGAACTAAAAAAGCTTGTAGTTAAGAACCAGAAGATGGAGAGAAAGAAAAGTTAAGTATTTGGTTGAATTAAGTTAAGTTAGCTAGTAAACTGAAACACTTCCCTGTTCCTTCTCTTATCTTCTCTTTCCCTGTTTCCTGGTTCTTAACTACTACAGAGAAAGCAAACTATAGACCAATTTCCTTGATGAATATTGATGCAAAAATTCTAAATAAATCCTAGCAAGGTGATTACAACAATACATCCAAAGATCTCACACTACAACCAGGGGGGATTTATGCCAGGAATGCAGGGCTGGTTCACACTACGAAAACCACGGGCATAACAGACCGTGTCATTAACGAAAACAACAAAAATCATCTGAATACAACAAGCGTTGCAGAAAAAGCTTCTGACAAAAGACAATACCCATTTCTATTAAAAAGCACTAGGAAGCACAGGGAAAAAATGGAGTCTTTTGTAAAATAATAAGTAGTATCCATCTAAAGCAGAGATCAAACATTTCTGTAATGGGAATAAACTAGAAACCTTCCTAGTCAGATCAGAGGTGAAGCAAAAATGTCTTATCATTACCACTATTATTCAACATCGTTCTAGAAATGCTAGCTATAGCAATACGACAAGAAAATAAACTGAAGGAATAAAAATAGACAATAAAAAACCAAAACAATCATCCTTTGCAGATAATGTGATGGTATACTTATAGTCTAGAGAATCAACTAAAAATTTAGTTAAAACAATTAACCACTTCAGCAAAGTCACAGGATATAAAAGAAGCCCACACAAATCATCCACATTTCTATATATTACCAACAAAACCCAGCAGGAAGAGATAGAGAAATTCCATTTAAAATAACTACAGACACTATAAAACTACTTGGCAGTCTACATGTAAAGACACACTCAGGAACCATAGGCACACAACCACAAAATATTTTTCACACAAATACAGATTTAACCAATTGAAAAAATATCCATTGCTCATGGGTAAGAGGAGCCGATTTAATAAAAAAGACAATTCCACTTAAATTAATTTATTTATTCAGTGCCATATCAATCTAACTATCAAAGAATTATTTCACAGAGCTAGAAAACATAATAATAAAATTCATCTGGAAGCACAAAAGGTCAAGAATACAAAGGGAATCAATGAAAAAAAATGTGAAGGAAGGTGACCTGGCAGTACCAGATTTCAAACTATATTACAAAGCAGTAATAATGAAAATAATCTAATACTGTCTAAGAAATACAGGGGTGGATCTGTGGAACCACATAGTAATCTAGTGTTTGATAAACCCAAAGATACAAACTTTCAGGGGAAAATTCTCTAGTATTTTGGAAGTTCGGAGGAACCTAGGAATAGACCAACACCTTCCAGCAAGATAAGTTTAAAATGAGTACATGATTTAGATATAAATGGTAATATCATAAGTCAATTAGGAAAGTATGGGAAAATGTACCTTGGATGAGGATCTGTGGATGAGTGAAGAGTTTATGAGCAAATAAGAGAGAGAGAGGATCACAGGAAATAAAATGGATAATTTTGATTACATGAAATCAAAAGGGTTTTTTGCACAAATAAAACTAATGCAGCTAAAATTAGAAGGGAAGCAGGAAACTAAATAAAAAATTTTACAGCAAGTTTCTCTGCTAAAGGCCTCACTTCTCAGATATATGGGGAGCTGAGCCAAATTTATAAAAGAGCCATCCCCCAGTTGATAAAGGATCAAGCAATACAAAAAGGCCGTTTTCAGAAGAAATCAAAGCTATCAACAGTCACATGACAAAATGCTCTAAATCGCTACTGATTAGAAAAATGCAATAAACAACCACTGAGGTACCTACCACCTCACACCCATCAGACTGGCTAATGTGACTGAACAGGAAAATGACAAATGTTGGAGGGAGGGTGATGAAGACAACGATCTGTGACAATTCCAAAAAACACAGGATGAAAAACGCTGTTCACCTCTAAACAGTCAACTGATGCAGATGAAGCAGACTTTTTTAAACTTTCTTTATTTTTCTTGGTTTTTTTCTGCAATGTGACTAAGACGGAAATATGTTTTATATGACTTCATGCATATAATGAATATTACATTGCTTGACTAATCAATAGGTAGAGGAGAGGCAGGAGGGAGGGAGAGAATTAGAAGCTTAAAATTAAAAAATGAATATATAAAAACAGAAAAGAAAAAAGAATAGAAACTCTTTGAAGGTAAGAACTGTCTTTTTTTGGCATACAAATGTATTTCGCAGTACTTAGCATAGTTCCTGGCCTATAGTAAGCAAATATTTTATCTATCTTATCTATCAAAAAGTAAACATCCAGAGGCAGCTAGGTGGTGATAGAGCACCGGCCCTGAATTCAGGAGTACCCAAGTTCAAATCCAGCCTCAGACATGTAACACGTACCAGCTGTGTGACCCTGGGCAAGTCGTTTAACCCCACTGCCTAACCCAAAAAAAAAAAAGTAAACATCTACCTTTTCCTTAAATATCTGCAGTGATAGAAAACCCATGGCCTCCCCCAGGTATCCCAACGAACTTCTGGGAACCACCAAACTGCATCAAGCCTAAATCTTTTCAGCTTGTCCCCAGTGATCTTAGTTTGGTCCTGTAAAGTCCCCCATACCACAGCTAGTCCCTCTTACTAACTTAAAGCCTTTCATATGCTTGAATGCAGCTACTGTCACCTTACATCTTCCCTCCTCTGGGCTAAACAGTCCCAGTTTTGAAAATAACAATAAAAATAGCAATGACGACGATAATGGCAGCTAATATTTCTACAGCGCCTACTGTGCACTAGGTACTGCCCTGAATGCTTCACAAACATGGCCTCCCTGCGAGGTAGCTGCTGCATTAATCCCCATTCCTAGCAGACAGCAGTGCTGGGCAAGCCCAGCACTTCCCGATTTTTCTCAAAGTATTCTCCTCAGGGTGAGCTTTCTGTAGAGCCCAGCCCTTAACCTTTCTTTTCTTGTCCCTGGGTCTTTTCTCCAACATGCTTCACCACACTTCTCAAATAATAACAGTACTACCCAGATGGAACATTATCGACGAGATAGAACATTTGCATAACATGTTACACACATTATCTCGTCTGGCCCTCCAAAGAATCCCATGAGGTTTAAGTCCAGAAGACTGAAAATGAAACATGCCGTTTGCCTCCTGTCAGAGAAGTGATGAACCTGAAATGCCAGAAGAGACAAATGCTTTTGGAACTAGGTTAAGAATTCAACAGGGCAGCTGAGTGGTCAAGAAGACCTGAGTTCAAATCCAACTTCAGATACTTTCTAGCTATATGACCCTGGGCGAGTCACTTCATCCTGCCTGCCTCAATGTCCTCATCTGTAAAATGAGCTAGAGAAGGAAATGGCAAGCCACTTTTTGCCAAGAAAACCCCGAATGGGGTCACAAAAAGTTGGAAACAACTGAAAAGCAATTGAATAGAAATAAAGTATTCGATGAGATTTTCTTCAACTAGTTGACTTTGGAAGCCAGAAGTCTAGTGAAGGAAGTCACCATTAAAAATGGTATTTAAAAATCCAATGATTTGAATAGGTCATATTTTTTCTCACTTTTCAAGTTTGAAATTTATCTCCACATCGGTAACCAAGTTATAGATTTAATACATATCACATAAATCCCAACTCCAAGAATAAGAAGGGAACACAATCTAACCTTTAGGCTAGCCCTAACAAAAGGAGTTACCATCTTCCCCTTAGAAGCAGGAGCAACAGAAGAAGAAAGAACAGCTTACCTTCGTGGACGGTAATGCCACAGTTGTCGCATTGGATTATTTCGTCAGCATCCTCACTGTTATCTCCAAGACAAACACAGCAAATCAAAATATGATCCATTTTCTGGGCACTCCAGTTTTGGCTCTTCTCAAGAATCAGCGAGTCCTAAGAATTGAAATGTTCAAACACATCATTTTTACTGTCATGTCACCAATGATTATTAAACAGAAAGATACAGTCTTTGTTCTCAATTGAGGTTTGTTTTCTCCCCTAAGGGTTATTCATTCCTTCCATGCTATATTGCTCCTGTTACCACCTAGCCCTCTTGAAATCCCACCTCACCTCTTCTAAGTGCCAAGAAGGCAGGGAGGCCTGTCCACCTAAGCAGTGCCCAAAGGTTCACAGTTAGCACTGAACTTGAAGGAAACTTATAAGTCACTTGGTGCAATGCCTGGCACTCCAGAAACCCTAAAGAAATGTTTGCTGAATGACTGATCAAGTGCAACCTCTTCTCTTATCGATAAGGAAACTGACCACCAAGAAAAGCTAAAGGAACATGGCCATGGTCACATAAATTCCTTCCTTTGTTATTCAAAACACACACCCAGGAAACTTCCTAGGAAGAAAAGGTAAAGATTCCTTTGACTAACACTAAAAGCAGGAGAGAGAGAGAGAGAGAGAGAGAGAGAGAGAGAGAGAGAGAGAGAGAGAGAGTGGGGGGGGAGAAACAGAGGGCAAAAGAAGGGGTGGGAGGGGAGAAAGAGAGAGACAGACAAAAAGACAGAGACGGAGACAAGAGAGACAGAGACAAACACAAACATGAAGAGAAAAACAGAGAGAATGCGCTTGTTTAAAGTAGAGAAGAAATACAGGATGTGACTTTCACTCTGCAGAAACCAGGATGGATGGATGGATGGATGGATGGATGGATGGATGGATGGATAGATGGAAAGATGGATAGATAGATAGATAGATAGATAGATAGATAGATAGATAGATAGATAGATATAGATAGATAGATATACAAGAAGCAAAGACTGATTCCAGGACAACATATAAGCAAGTCTATGATGTGTGTTTTGTGGCTCCAATGACCAGGCACTTCCAAAGTGCCTCCTCTCTGATGTGTCGGGCACAAAGAAGGGAACACTCTCTAATGGGAAGGAGCCCCTGTACATTTCACACCTGTTAGCTGATCAAGGGAAAGTGATACATTCTGCATTGATCATGATTCAGAGCTAGAAGGGACCCCCAAGGGCATCTCATTCTGAGGCCCAGACAGGAGACACTGGCCAATCCCAAGTCCCAAAGATGGCAAGCAGCAGGGATGGGCCACAAAGCCAGGCCTCCTGTCTCAAATCCAGCATTCTTCCCAAGATGGTGTCTGAGATTTTGAGAGGTTCAGAATGAACGAGAAGGGTGTAAAGAACCGCTAGACTAAGGAACCATGAGTGGAAGGCAAGGGAAGGCCAGTTTCAGAGGAAGCCCTTGGCATTTGAGATTTAATCTATTAAGGCCTCCAAGGACAGAGTAAAAGTAATAAGAGCAAACTTGTCCTGGCCAAACGTTCAGTAAATCTTACGTTATATACTACTTGGCAGAGCCCACAAATCCTTAAAGCCATTTCCAAGGAGTCTTCCAAAAGCCACTGAGTCTGTGCCCCAAAATGTCCCACTGGAAGGGCCCTGAGGTTTCATCAAGTCCTGAGGCTCATGAAGGTAGGATTCAAACACAAATCTCCACTGCCAGTCAGAGCAGGGATTTTTGTGAGCACTCTAGATTTAAGCTTAGAGTAGGGTCACCTCTAAAGGGCTGACCAAGTGATCTGGCCACACTGCTGGAAGCTGAGCTGAGCTAGAAGGCTCACGGCAATGTCTGACTGCAGACTGACCAGGCAGGCCTCGGGCCAAGGGACGGAGAAGTGACAGTGCGACCAGAGGGGCACTACCAAGGCAAACAGAACTGTCAGGCCTTAGAAACTAAGATAGAAAAAGGTGCGAGGCCTTCCCAACCATCGCCGATCACTATAACTCATCTTGACCTTCAAGCATTTCACCTCAACACACATAGAATCCAAGGGGAGAAACAGGGTGCTCCCAACAGACCCTCTGGGCGGGGGGGACATGAGCACCAGCAGCCAGCTCCAGCCCAGCTCACACACTAACAATCTGTAGACTTTCCTAGCAAGTTACTTCCCCTCCTGGCCCTCAGGGCCCCGATCCTTAAAATGAGGCCCTGGCTAGGGACTGACAGGGGTTGGACTGATGGGGTTTCGTCTATTCTTCCACTTTTTTTCTCTTAAAAAAAATCTCAGTTATACAGAAAGAGGAGGGGAAGGGAAACGGGGGGAAATTAAGGCTTGGAAAAACAGAAGATGGGGCATCTAGGCGGCACAGTGGACAGAGCACCCGCCCTGAAGTCAGAAGGACCTGAGTTCAAATCCGGCCTTGACACTTACTAGCTGTGTGACCCTGTACAAGTCACTTAACCCCAACTACCTTTAAAAAAAAAAAGAAAGAAAGAAAGAAAGAAAAACTGAAGATATCAGTCACTGCTTTTTCAAGGAGGGATTGGGAATAGCTGAGCTCAGTAATCTGGATCTGGAATCAGGAGAGCCTTAGGTGAAAGGTCCTTATGTGGCCTCAGACACTTACCAGTTGTGTGACCTTGGGCAAGTCACTTAACTTGGCCTCAGTTTCTTCCTCTGTAAAATGAAGACAACAACAGCACTGCCCTCCCAGGGCAGTCGTGAAGCTCGAACGAGGTAAGAATTCTGAAGAGCTGGGCACAGTGCCTGGCACAGAGCTAGCGCAGCATCAAGGGGAGCTAGTGTCATTATCACGTCTAACATTGACAGCTGGTGACCACGGACAAACCACTTACCTTCTCTGGGCCTCAGTTTCACCATCTGCAGAATGGCCAGATACTGTAGATATTGCTTACCTCACACAACTGTTGTGAGGATCAAATGAAACAGGATATGTCAAACGCTCTAAAAATTCAAAGTGCAAGGGGAATGTCAACAGCAGTGATTTATTATCACTGTCCTCACCAATGTGGGGACTCTGTGAACACTGCCACAGCTCTGGAGTCTCACAATTTAAGTACAACCTAGAGGCCATCCTAACATACCCTGGGCAGCACCAACAGCCCTCCGGCAGAATCCCATCAAACCCAGTGACTCTTCAACAAAGCAGTTACCCTACATGGCCAAGAGAAAGCAGCAAATGATAATGGCTCCTTGAGCAACCTATGCCATATCTGATCAATCAGCAATCAACTAATAAACATTATTAAGAACCTACTACGTGCCAGGCACTGTGCTCAGCACTGGGGACACAAAGAAGGCAAAAACCAACTTCTGCCCTCCACGAGCTCACCATCGAACAGGGGAGACAACATGCATAAATACATACAATGCAAGCTACACACAGGAGAAAGAGGAAATGGTTAAAGAGGGAAGGCACCGGAATGAGGGGCAGTCAAGGAAGGCTTCCTGTAGAAGGGGGGATGTCAGCTGGGACTCAGAGGTCGGGAGTCAGCGGCTGAGGAGGAAGAGCGGTCCAGGCCTGGGGGACGAGCCAGAGAGAAGGCCCAGAGGCAGAAGGAGAAGGGTCTTGTTCAGGGAACAGCCAGGAGGCCAGTGGGTCACCGGACCAAAGAGTATGTGAGCGGGCAAAGGTGAAAGACTGGAGAACCAAGAGAAAGTGACATCCCCAAAACCTGGAGAGAAGAGAGGCTCAGGAGATTAATGGTGCCCACTGCAGCAGTGAGGTCAAGGACAGGGAAGATGGAGACAAGGGCCTCAGACTTGGCAACTCAGAGACAGGCAGGAATTTTGAAGAGGGCAGTTTGGGCGGGACGAGGAGGGCAGAAGCTGGATTATAAGAGGCTAACAGAGTGAGAGGAGAGAAAGCAGAGGCACTGATTGCAGACAGCCTTTGTGAGGAATGTCGCCACAAAGGGCAGAGGAGACACAGAACAGTAGTTAACAGAGCCGGAAGGAACAAGTGGGGATCTTCTCAGGATGGGGAAGACATGGGCGTGTTTGCAGACTTTAGGGAAGGAGTCAGTAGAGAGGGACAGAGTGAAAAGAAGTGACAGAGGGGAGACAATCCATTGGAGGAGACGGGGTGGAATGAGATCCCATGTGCAGGTAGAGGGGTTGGCCTTGGCCAGGAGTCAGGCCACCTTATCATGGGAGACAGGAGCAAAGGAGGGGAGAGAGAAGCAGAAGGTACCTGTGTGATAGGAGATGACAAAGAATGGGGAACCAGTAGAGAAATGTGGTGAAAACCTAGAGAGCAAAGAGAAGCCAGGTAGAGAACGGGGTCAACAAGGCTGAAGGCCCAAGAGAACGCCATCCAGTGTGGCCACCAAGAGGTCAGAGGTCACTCTGGGGAGCAGAGTTTCAGCTGAGTGATGAAGCACTTCAGAAGCTAAGCTACAAAGGGTTGAGAAGGAGGGAAAGGAGAGGCAATAAAGGCAGCAAGTAGAGATGATTTTTCTTCTAGGAATCTGGCCAAGAAAGGGAAGAACAACAGGTCGAGGGGGTGGTAGATCTAAAGCAGGATTTTTAAGGACAGAGAGATACGGTTATGTAGGAGGACAGCAGGGAAGAATGACTGAAGGGAGAGGTAGAAGATTTGAGAAAGAGGAAATAGCTGAGAAAGCGACCTGCAGCAAGGGATGGGCAGGGAAGGGGTGATCAATTCCCCTTATTCCCACAAATCCATTTTCTTGTTTCTCCATTTCTTTTCTTTCCTGAAAAAAAAAAAGCCATGTTGTTATGTGGGAATTCCTCACCGTCCCACACAGCACATCACCTGCTAGCTGAGAGAAAGCCAGCAAGTCCTGGGAAAGGGGCTGCCTCAGTGTGGGGTCACCAGCTACAGGGAAGACCAAAATGCATGCAGAGCAGCCCTCCAACGCGATCATTCAGGCTCCGAAGCCTGCAGCCTGTCACACCCAGTGACTGGCGGTCTTGAACGAGGACAAAGAAAACCTGCCGGATGCACCTAGGCTCAATTCAGGAGGCCTGAGAGCACACACAACTACTCACAGGCACCCCGCCCTGAGCACTGTCCCCATTTAACCTCTAATGGCCCCACTCATTTATCACCAGCTTTTGCTCAGTCTTCAGGGCCCAGGTTTCAATCTCGCCTCTAACACTGTCTTTGCAACCTCAGGGGACTTACACACTCCCTGGACCTCAGTTTCCCCATTTGTAAAATAAGAGCGTCAGACTCTGACATGGCCTCAGAGGTCCTTCTTCCTCTAGACCTAGGGTCTTCTACGATCCGCCGAGCTCCTCTCAAGTGCTACCTTCACACGAGGCCTCCCTGATTGGCCTGGGGACACATCATTCGGAAGGGCTGTCTTATTTCTGTCCTTGCACCTCCGCGCCACCTATGGGTACCGTATCTGCCACATGGCAGGTGCTGAGTAAACACCTGCTGAGTGACTGAGTGATCTGTGATAGACTGCTCGTCTTCTCCAGCCTCCTCCCTCCTCTCCTCCCTCTGTATGGGCTACGCAGAGCACACTATTTGTTCATTAAACTAACCTCTCTTCAGAGGATTACAAACCCTATACAAGAGGCCATGTTGTGCATTAGGTTATATGTGTGTGTATCCAAGGGAAGAAAATCTGGGACCAATTCATACAAAATGCAATTAAAATAATCCTGTTACCTGAAGAGGAAGAAGAAATATGCCAAGAAATGTTCAAGCCAATATTTCTTCTTCTTGGTTCCTAAGAAGATTAAATTCTCAAGAATCTGAAATAATTATCCAGTACAAGAAAACCCCAAACTACACAACAGAGACTTTTTTCTCCCTAACATCTATCATGTTCCCACTAACGTGATTTCAACCATCCCCCAACTAACTCTTACCTAAAACTCTGAATTCCTGAAGGGGGGAAAACTCTTGATTGGGAAGCAGTCACTATAGAGACCACGCTGCTCTCACTAAAAGCTCACTGCAGGGGAGACCTTCAAAGCTTCAAAATGGAAATTATAAATCTAACCCAAAACACTCAATTTCTGTGGAGCTCAAAAACAAAGAGAGAGCGCCTATCTGATTACACTGAGCTTGAGGACCAAGACATACACACAGAAATTCTACTAAGATCACTATACATCTCAGACTGCCCTCAGAGGAAAGGGAAAATCTCCTCAGGAACCTTGATTCAAAATTATAAAAACTGCTGGGCATCATTGAGGATAGGAGCCATGGCAAAAGCTTGCCCCTGTCTGAACTCAGCATGATAGGCCAGACCCCAATGGGGGCAGCAGAAGCCCTCAGCAGGTCAGAAGACCTACTCAGTGACCAGATCATCGTCACTGCAGCCACTTCAGACACCCAGAAACTGAAGCTGCCCATTTCAGCTCCAAAGTCACCAGGGCTCCCCTTGGATGGCTTTCATAGAGCCAGGGGGGCAAAAACAGAAGATTAGCAAACAGAAGGAAGGCACAAACAAGCTGACCCTCTCTTTTAACAGAATTTTACTTGGGGTCCCAGGGTGTAAAAATTATCCTTGGTGGTGGTTAGAGCCTCTCTCAAATAGGAGACAGTGTTAAGCACCAGTCCGTATTTCCACATGGGGGAGAACAAAAGCTATAAGACCAGAGCACACTTTGCAGCCAAGCGTGCACTTTTCTCTGCAGCCCATTAAGAAGGGGTGGGCCCTCAGAAGGCCACAGCATTTCTCACAACTGCCCCTTCTAAACCCACGAAACCTGTAAAAGAACTTAGACTTCCAAGTGCCTTCGATTCTCACATATCAGTTCACAGCTGGGACATCACCACTGGCTAGCTCTCTATAAACTGTACACAGGAAATATCAATCCCAAGCTTGTCTCCTCCCAGCACATGGGTGCCACCTCCACCTATGTCCCATTTTCCACGCTACCTGTTGGTGCGCTCAGAGAGGACATTAGTGCCGGATGATAACAAAGGTCAATCTACCCACACCTGCACGTTCACTGCGTGCACACATCACTAAATGACATCAAGCGCCTGTACTGACAACTAACCACACCTCCACATGCCATCCATACTCTGCCCCAAAGACCAGTTCTCCTCAAGGTGAAGATGACAACAGAACGACACCTGGTCACTGCAGAGCACGACAGGCTGCTCTTCTGGGAACGCTGCCGACCCTGGGATGCACTGGGACCCAGGTGGATCAGCCAGGTCCGACTGCGAGCCCCTCTATCACCTCAGACAGTAAAGGTCCTCTCGTAACACCAGGGAAGGCCGCGAGGAGGCTACACACCCTATGTGAGGATCACCAGAAATGTTCCTCAAGTTGTATTAACATCAGAAACAGCAAGGGGGCTTGTTTAACCCAATTCAGTGAAATGATAGAAACAAAAGAAAGTCAAGTTTTTAGTCAAGAAGTGACTGAAAAACCTGTGAACAGAAGCAATGGCAGACTTAACTACTCAGTAGTTATTTAATAATATTATTATAGACTGCTACTAATAATATTATCATTATTAACTGCCCTGTAGTTAAGTAGGATGTTGCAAGCACATCCACATGTAGCACGACATTTCGCTCAATTTTTCTGTTGAGAAAAATAAACACGTACACAGACAAACACACAGATACTGTACACGCCAAAGTACCGGAAGGACGTTTTCTTGACTGGCGCATCTCGGGCCCCTAACTCTCAGGAGGACTTCCCATCAAAGAACTGGGTGATTAGTGTAGCTCTGTCCAACTGGTAACAATATTCAGGAGGGAAATGTTTGGTGTTGGCCTTTCTTTGCTGAACAACTATGTCATGAGGAATCTAAATATAAGGACCATATTTAAGCAGTCGAGTAATTTTAGGACATGTTTTTAAGTTCACATAAACCTGAGCTTGGAATCAGATGCACCCTTCTGGCCAAGATTTGGTGCTCAAAGAAAGAGGAATGCACATTTTAAATAAAGCTAAACAAATTAAAAACAAAAGAACCTGGGGGAGGGGTGTGCTGAAGGGGCGGGTCAAAGGTCCCTGGGGGTTGGGGAGGGGCTCTGTGGGAAAAGAGCATCCTTGGACTTTACCAACAGGACTCATCTGGTGCTCAGGACAGCTCTGGGAGGCAGGGGCCCTCACAACAGGCCGTCTCTGCTGACAGCCAGGAGCAATGAGGGGACTGCGGTTTTCCGGGGCAATGCTCAGGCCGGGGCTCCCACGGCTGTCCAGGGAAGCCTCTTCCTGTGACCAGTCCCCCCGACAGACAGATAGATACCACAGAAATCAGGATGCTCTACCTCATTGCTCTTGCTCTGAGAAAGGGTCAGGCTATCATTGGTCAGTTCCTCGTCGTCTGCACTGTTCCTGCTGAGTGCCTGGCCTTTCCTCTTCTTGCCCGGCCCGTCACTGGCAGGGCTGCTGTGATCTTCGTCATTGCCTCCGTCGTCCTCGTCCTCGTCGCTGCCACTGCCGCCGTCCTCGTCGTCCTCGTCATCGCCGTCGCTGCCCTCTCTCCGCGAGGAGGCCTTGCCCTTCCTCCGCGCCGCGGCCGGCCGCCAGTCATTATCGTCCTCGCTGTCGTAGTCGTCCATGTCGTTCAGCTCCTCCATGGACACAAAGTCGAGGAGGGGCCGGTTCCTGCGCAGGTTCCACTTCTTGGGCTCGCTGGCCTGCTCGTCAGGGGCTGCGGGGGGCACAGCCCCCTCGCACCCCGAAGCTTTGTCCTTCTCCTTCCGCTTCTTGGGTTTTTCTTCACTCTCCTCCTCCTTCTTCTCCGTCTTCCCCGGGGCTTTCTCAGCCATGAGAACGTCTTCTTCCACGGAGCTCTTCAGCAATTCTGCCTCAACTTTCGCTTCTTCAGTGAGATCTTCCTCCAGGACATTTTCTTCCGAGTCACTACAGGACCCTTCTCCACTGTCCTTCGAAGGGTCTTCACTTCCATTCCCACTCCCTTCAGAATCTGTTGAAAATATGAGAAAAAAAAACCACACATATGTATATACATACACACACACACACACAACGCTGACACAAATGAAGCCACCAAAATTTGTGAATAACTTGCAAAATGATATAGAAACACATTTTTAAGTGAAAAAAAACGACCAACACCCCCAGCCTGGTCAGACCCCACACGAGAGAAAGCTTGTTCAGTGGCATCCACTGCCAAGGAGGCCTATGTGCCCTGGTGAGCCAAAAACCACATGCCCGCCTGCTTGGACCCCTGTTCATGGGCACGTCAAGGTCACCACCAAAAAGAAGTGCAAATATCGAGTCTTCCACAAATTGTAAGTATGAACACAGGCCAGATCTTTAGCTTCTTGCATCTTCTTTCTGGACACTGTTCTGCCTTTCTAATTAAATATCCACACAGAACAAGAAGACGTAAGAGAAAGAACAGCCAAAAGAGTCTATTTCCTTGTATTTTTCTCTCTCTCTCTCCCCGTCTCAGTAGCCAGCTGGAAACCAGGCCCTGGCTCTCAGACCCAAGGACCAAAAAACACCTCGGACTCACCCCCACCACTCTGATCATACATATTCTCCTGGACACCTTACAAAGTGCAAGGAGTCTGGATCTGCAAAGGCCCTGCAAGCTTGGGATTACCTTACTGATGATGCTGCTGTCCTTTTCCATCAGGGGCTACGAAGCAGCTAAATGCCCAAGCAGGACAGTTGTGGGACTGCAGGGTGGTCCTCAGACGATCTACTATTTCATCAATGGGAGCACTCCCCACCAAAAACACAGTTGCCAACCCCACAAGATGGGTGCACCGTCTCTGGCCAGACAGCTTATCCCCTAGGAAGCTGACCTTGTGACTTCAGGCCTCTTCCCCTGACCTGAGGCAGGGCCCCACACCACCCCCCACCGGGCCCCATCCACCACCCCCACCAGAATCTGCACTCTGCGGACAAGCCCTCTGGGAGCCAAGGTCAGCGCCCTGGCATGGGCTCTGGAGGGGGACACCCCAAATCACATGCCCTGCAGAGGTGAAGAGCAGGTGAGGGCTGGGGTTTGGGAGGCCCTGTGGGCCTGCCTACTCCTAACCAGCCATTCTGTTCACTGCCAGGCCCTTGCAAGCGGCCCAGCCATGGACAGGAACCCTCCTTCTCCATTGGAAAATCTGGCCTGGAAGGTAGGAGTCAGAAGCCTGGATTGTGGACCTGGCTCAGCCTCCACCTTATTGTGCGACCTCAGGCAAGTCACTAAACCACTCGGGGCTTCAGGGTCCTCATCTGTAAAAAAAAAAAAAAAAGACACTAAACACCACGATCTCTAAGGACTTTCTGGGAGCGCCAAGAGGCAACGATTTCCTTTGGCTCCTAAATATAAGATGAATCCAAAGTTCACAAGGAATAAGAAGCAAAGAGAGGGAAAGGGGAACCATAACCGTTGGCACCTGTGGCTCTGAAAACCCAGATACAAAGTCCTGCGGGGGCTGCCGCATTTTCTACCCCTGGACACGAGAGCGTTCCCGGCCACCAAGTCCAAAGAAGGTTCCCGCCTGCGATCCTAGGGACTTTGGGGGCTGCCATGGCCCACAGCTGTGTGTGTCAAACTCTCACCACACATCACGTCATCTCCAAAAAACTCACCCACTCTTGGTTTCCAGACACTAGCTGGCAGCAAGAGGGAAAAGGACAGCCATGCATTAAAAATGACATCGATCCTTCTACAATTAGTACCTGGTCTCAAAGAGGGGCTAGGAGAAATACCAGCTGAACACTGCCGAGCTCAAAGGGCCTGCAAACCAGCTTCGAGACAAGACAGACCACAGACACCAAGCAGCTGTGCTCTGGGGCCTGCTTCAAATACCTCCCATCTGGTCAGCCTCAAACACAAATAATCAGAAAGTGAACCGTGTCGTCCATCTACAGTTATCCCAAAAGATGAAGAGGGCAACATTGTCTCTCTCACGAACAGAATCCTTGAGAGGCCCCAGGCCGTGCTTCTAGAAATAAATCCTGTAAAAATAACTGGTAACAATGACTTAAAAGTCCAACTCCCTGAGACTGCTCCATCTTATAAAAATTATATTCTAGCCACTTTCATTGAAAAGGTGAAACCACCACAGTTGTGACTCTGATTTTCACAATTAATACTATTTCTTATACTCTGTCTTCTGGGCCTTTGCTGGGAGGTGAGGGTCACTCAGAGATTTGAGGGGAAAGGAAGTTTTTCCACTTAACCAGCATGCCTGCCAGCCTTATGGCTCCCAAAAAAAAAAAAGGTAAATTTTAAGAATGTACTTCAGACAGACATGTTGGTCCTTAGTCACATAACCAATTCATCTTCGGGATTAGTGGGGCAATTCTCAGTTCTTCAGGATCTGAGATTTTCTTCGCTGTGGTTTAGCTACTGTTGCTAATATTCAGTAATTTTTAAATGCTAAATTGTTAAGTAATGACTTTTATCAGGTTTGAATACTAGTCAATAAAAGGGATTCAAATGATCTTGAGCAGGTAAGTTTCTATGTGGGAATTACTCTCCTATAAGCAAATCAAGTTTCCCTATAAATCCAATGCAAATCCCTAGCTTCATTTAAGCAAGAATTCTAATTTTCTCAGTCATAAGAATCTCTCCTCAAAATTGCTACTTCTATAATGAAAAAATATATAGTTAAGGAGTCAGTAAACTACCACTAATCACTCCTTCAAGATGTTGAATAATAACAATAATAACACCAATAGCAAACATATCCATATTAAGTATATACATGTGGTAGCTAGCATTTTAATACTAGTGAGCATTTATGTAGAAAGCTTAAGGTTTGCAGCACACTTTACATGTTATCCCATTTTATCCTCTCAATAACCCTGGGAGACAGGTACTATTATTATCCCCACTGTATAGATGAGGAAACTGAGGTTGACAGAGGTAAAGTGACTTGCCTAGGGTCACACAGCTAAATAAAGGTCTGAGGCTAGACTCAAATCTTCCTAACTCCAGGCCCGGAATTCAATCCACTGAGTCACCTAGTTATCTCTTCATCTATAAACTAACCCAGCCAATGTTGACCATCAATGTCATTAAAATCAATACTTAAATTTTCCCCACAAGAATTTCTTTCAAGTTGAAAATAATCACTAATCACATTGACTTAGTTTCTTCAGCGGGTAGGTGTCAGGCACGCTCTCACCAGCCAGATGAGGCTCTGCCCTTTGTCACTGGCGACATCCCCACCTTCTCCCCACTGCCCACACTGGTGCTCTTAGGGCCAGGGATGACTCCTCCCTCCAGCTCCCCCATGTTCAGCCAGCACCCCAATCCTGCCCCTTTCTACTACCTCCACTAGCACCTAATCACCTCTACCCTAGATCACTCTGTGGAGGTTCCGCATTGGAAAAACACTCCTTCTCTGACTCGGAGGATGGAACGAGCTTAAGCAGAGATCACTGCCATTCAACACCACACTCATCACATCAGGTTACTGCTTAAAAACCCTTGAGTTCTGTACCCCAGGAGATTAAGTACAATGGCTTAGCGTGCATCCCTGAGCTTAACTTCCCTCCCACAGCCGCCCTCCATGAAGACCCGACGCCAGCCCCAGGAGCACACCCCCTCTCCCTCCACACCACCGAGTCCTCTCTTGCTTTCCTTGCTCCCTTGTACAGACCATCTCCACCACTATCCTCATCAGAAAGGCCTGGCCCCTTTTTCTGGCATCCACAGACCAACTAATTAAGCCTTCCCAGACTTTCCCCACCGGGGGAATATGGTGAAAAGGTTCGGGCTCTGGCCGGGTGGATTCACCAGACGATCGCTGATGGCCTGGTATGTTTCTGCTGTCTGTCTGTGGCATAGATACGTGCTCTCGTTCAAAGATCTCTGCCTTGTCTCCCCGACTAGACAACAAGCTGCTTGTGGGGAGGAAGCACCCCTCGCACAGTGCCTGGCAGCGTTTCTTGCACATTTCAGGCGCTCTCTAAAGCATAAAAGCGTCCCAGATTGACTGTCCTCAAATTATTTTATGGGCAAATGAACCACATGAATATCCAGAGGGGATGCAAGTCCTCAGGTATGCTTCTCCATTTCAGATTTTTAATACAGTGACTTTCAATGTAAGTAATATAAATGTATCCAACATACTCCACCTGGCCACCTGAAAAGAGAGGTTTTCTCAATGTTCATTTTAATCTATTTTCGTATTAAGACAAGGTCTACTACTAATAAGCGTGATGATGGTAAGGGCAGCATTTCTACAGCTCCATCTCATGCCTGGAACTGTGCTAAGCACTTGACAAACAGGCCCTCCCTGGATCCTCACAACTGCCCTGGGAGGTCTGTCCATGAGTCCATGGGGAACATGGGGCTGGCAGAATGAATACTAACATGGATCTGCAAACTAGGTACTCAACTTTTTTGTGTTTTCAGCAGTTTACTCACAAAACCGGGCAGAACTAGATTCTATAATTTATTTTCTTGGTCAGTTGTTAGGATGGTGAGCCATTCACCCAGAAGTGAGCGATCCATCAAACACAGTAAGCTTACTTTAGAAAAAAGAAAAGAGACAATCCAATCTAATGATTTTCCGTGTATATTTTAAGAGGGCCAACAGTTCCCTGAGATATCTTTAGAGGCAGGATTTACAACAGGGTGGAAGATATTTACTAAAGACTAAGTTGCAGACACTGCGGATGCAACATTACAAAATGGTTTCTGCCCAGCAGGGGCTCACACAATCAATCTCCTGGCACGTAGTAGGTGCTCAATAAATGCCTACTGTCTGAACATGTACACAGAATCAAATACAACCTAGATAGAAAGACATTTCAGAAAGAAGGGGCCTGGCAATTGGGAGCACCAAGCGGGAGGATCAGGAGAAGCCTCGGCACTGAGATAAGCTTGGAAGAATTCAGGGATGGCATGAGGCAGAGCACCGCAGGCATGGGGATGGAATGCTGGGCATAGCAAGTGGGCGAGTGTGGCCGGAACCCAGAATGTATACAGGAGAGGAAGGTCAGCTAGAGGCAGATCATGAAGAGCCAGCGTCTGTATTCGATCCTAGAGGCGACAGGGAGCCACTGGGACTCGTGGAGCTGGTGAGTGACCTTGTGAGACCTGTGCTTTGGGAAGGTCACTTGAGCAGCCACTGTGTGGAGGATGAACTGAAGGGGGTGGGAGAGAGGGAGGAAGACAGAAGCAATAGCACAGACAGGCAAGAAGAGATAAGGCCCTGAACAAGGGAGGTGGCCACGTAAGTCGACAACAGGAGACAAGAATGAATGAACCCTGGAGCTTGACAAGAGGTGAGAAATAAAGGGAGTGTTGAGGCTCCCTCTGAGCATGCAAGCCTGGGAAGACACTGAACGCAGAACCAGCCAAGTGTGGAAGTGGGAAGGGCCAGGAGTGGGTGGGAAAACGAGTTGTTTTGTTGGCCACTAAGAGTCTGAGACGTCACAGGATGGTCAGTGGGGATGTCTGGCAAGTGATCCATTTGGAACCATAATGTGAGAGAAGATGGCTGGAGAGGCGGATTTAAGATTTATCTGCAGAGAAGTCATACTGCCCGGAAACTGATGAGATCATGGGAAAAAAAAGACAGCCCAGAACAGAGAGGGCCGTACACGGATGATGACACCACACAGGAGAAGGGGCAGTCGGGAGGGCAAGAGGACAAGAACACAGCAGTGTCCTACAACCCAGAAGGAGGGGGTGGTCCACAGTGTCCCAGGCCACAGAAGGGTCAAGAATAAAGAAGACAGATAATGGGCCCTGGATTTGGAGACCTTGCAGAAAGCATGAAGTGAGGAGTGTAGAAGTGAGAAAGCCGTGGGGGAGGAGGCAGTGAGCACAGACAGCTTTTCATAGGAGTCTGGCTGAAAGGAAGGAAACACATACCCAGAATGACAGCTTAAAGAACGAGGTTGTGGCAGAGGAGTTTATATATAATTTATTTCACTGCCTCAAGCCTTATCCTCATGGGCAACGACCTCCATTTCAGAACTATTCATGTAAGAGTTCTGCCTTCTGCCAGACTACTTGTGTGCGCGTGTGCATAAATAACATATATGTGTGTGTATATATATACGTACACATATATATATACACACATATATATATAAATGCTTGTGTGCATATATATATATATACACACACACTCACACACACATACACGCGCATGTGTACAAGTGTGTGGGGGGGCTTATGCACGTGTGTGCGTCTCTTATACTTGCACACTTCTCTCGGGTCCAAGCAGAGAGAGGACCAGTCCGGTCCTAGTGACGGAGACGGCGCACCGGCAATCCTAGCAGGCATGGGGGCATCGTGCCCACTGCTTCCCTTCCAATGCCCCGCCTGCTCCAGGCCAGCTGCCCCCGGGTGCCTGAGGGCTTAAGGCCTGAGGAGGGTCCATCCAGACCTACCCTCCCCGCCCAGGGAGCATTCCACCCCCTCCCCACCCAACTAGTTTTCGCTAGCGACCAGCGGTCTGGGGCAGAGGACAAAAGAGGCGTGGAGGTCCCCAAGCGACCACTAGCTCTCCCTTGGCCCGGGGAGGACGCGCCCAGCTTGACCCCCGAGAGAGGGGCCTCCGGCCCGGACCGACCCAGAGGATCTCCTCCATCTGTCAATCACATGGATGCCCCGCTCTGGGCACGGCCTGCCCCCAGGAGCTCCCCAGCCCGGTCCAGGGAAGGGCGCACCTGGCGGGGGGCCGGGGGGGCAGTCCTCCCTCGGCCCGGGAATTACCTGAAGCATCGCCCACTTTAAAGTCGCTGTCATCGGAGCTGTCATAGTCGAGCGCCTCGAGCAGGGACGCGGCCAAGGGCTTCACCGGCCTCCGCTTGGAGCTGCGATCCACTGCAGGGGAGAGACACAGGGGGCGTCACGCGGGATGGCGGAACACGCGGTGCCCCCGGCCCCGCCCCCGCCCCTCCCCCTCCCCTCACTCACTAGGGCCGGCGTCAGGGACGCGAGGCCGGGGGGCGCGCGGGGAGCCGGCGGCGGCGGCGGCCCCGGAGGAGGCGGCGGAGGCCCGGCCCTGGCGGCCCGGCCGTCCCCACGCGCGACCCACTCCGGGCCGCCCCGCGCCGCGCCCCCGCCCGCCGCAGCGCGCGCCCGTCTCCGCGCCCGGGGAGGACGCCCGCAAGAGGCCCACAAGGGCACGGGCCCGCACCGACGGCCGCACACAAAAGGCCGCCCGACCAGCGGGACGCGGCGCGCGGGGCCCAGGAGGGGAACTGCGAGGATGGGGAGCCGGGCGCGGGCCGGGAGGGGGTGGGACCGCAGGAACGGGGCCCAGGGAGCAAGGTGCGCCTGCGTCTGGGGGCGGGGCCGGCGGCCAGGAGAGGAATGCGCCTGCGCGGGAGGCGGACCCGACGAGGGGAAATGAGTGCGCCTGCTCCGGAGGCGGGGTTAATCGAGGGGGCGGAGCAAGAGAGCCGAGCTGAGGAGAAAAGGCGAGCGCGGCGGAGCTGAACTTGTCCAGGAGCCGCACTGCGCCTGTGCTTGGGGCGGGGCCAGAGGCCAGGGGAAACAAGGTGGGGAGGAGCCAAAGGAAGGGGTGGGAGGGAGCCTGCGCCTGGAAAGCGCTAGGCTAGGCATGGAGGGAGGAGCCAGAGGGGAGGAGCGGAAGCGCCCTCGGTCTGCCTGCTGCCTTTGTTCTGCTTTGCTGGCACTGCTGCCAGACTTGCTGGGTGGTGAGCGGGAGGACCGAGGCTCCCCGCTTGAGATTGGGCCTGCGGACCCCCGAGAGGCCCATGGAGATGGAGAGACTGGCCTCTGAGATGAGGATTTGGGCGCTGTAAAAAAATAAAAATAAAAGCATGGGGTGGATGGCCCTTCTGCTTCCGAGGCAAGTTTCCCACCTCCAGGCTTTTATCTAGTACTGGCAGCCCAGCACTTTCCTCCCAGTTCCACTGCTGGGCACCCTTCCAGCCCACAGGCAGTCCAGGTGCCCCCTGGAAACCCACCCCAACCAATACCTTCCTCCCCACGGTTTCTGAGAATGGGTGGGGGGAGAGACAGCAGAGTGATTCTGGTATCACTCAAAAGGGGCCAGGGACCCTGGTCAATCCAACTCCCAGGTGTCCAGCATAAGGAACCAGTAGCAGATGGGTTGTTTAGGTGCTGGGCAGGGATTCTTCAAGTGTGCACACACCAAGAAGAGGCCAGCCCTGCTCCCCTCAGCACCCCAGAAAACCCTGAGATCAGCGATGTAAAGGAAAAGACAGGACATGGTCCCTGCACATGAGTCCAGAACAGAGGCCATCCATCATGGCCCCAAATGCCAGCACCCTTCCACAGGACCCAAGTCCTGTCAGTCCGGGAGCCAGATGGTGCACTTGGCTGTCTGTGGGGCTGGGGATCCCAAACTGGAGGCAGCCTGGAGAAGAGTCCCAGAGAAAGAGAAGGAGAGTGTCGCAGGCCTTTCATTTCCTGCTCCTCTCATCGCATTCCATGAGGTTAACGGAGTGCCGGCCTAGAATCCACATAACTGTGTTTGAGAGAATGGTGAGGCGCCTGGCCTCCTGGATAGCCTAGCTGAAGAGTCTGCAGAGACCTGGGCCCAAATCCTGCCTCATATTCTTAGCTCAGTCTCATTTTCCCCCTATGAAAAATCAGGCTAATACAAGCACCCACATCAGAGGGTTATCCTGCGTTGTAGCTACCTGGGCTGCACATCTGGACATCTGGTGCAGACTGAGGAGGGGACCTGGGCTGGGGGGAGGGAGGGGTAATGAAGCATGCTGCGTGCCAGGAGCTTTGCTAAGTGCTCTTTACAAGCACTGTCTCATCTGATCCTCACAACTACCCTGGGAAACATTATCCCCTTTTTGAGGAGGAGACTGAAACAAAGTGACCTGCCCTGGGGTCAAAGAGCCAGCTTCGAACCTGGGGCTTTGTGACTCTGGGCCTACCCTAAGGCCATGGACTAGCCTGGGAATTAGGAGAAGCAATGTCTGGGCTCCTGCCTCCAGCTTGCTCTGAGTTTGCATGGGAGTAACCAGGGCAGGAAGGGGGCCTGGGGCAGCCTCCTGGCTGTCCCCAGCCCAGCCCATTCCCAGGATCCTGAAGAGCACAGCCAGCCCTCAATGCCCACGGCAAGCAGCAGGAATTCAGTTCCATTAAAGACATTTATTAAGTGCCTGCTATGTGGCAGGCACTGTGCCAAGCACTGCAGACACAAATAAGAAAAAGAAAAACAGGGCAGCCAGGTGGCGCAGCAGATAGAGCCCCGGCCCTGGATTCAGGAGGACCTGAGTTCAAATGCGGCCTCAGACACATAACACTTAACTAGCTGTGTGACCCTGGGCAAGTCACTTAATCCCATTGCCTAGCCAAAAAAAAAAGAAAAAGAAAGACTGTCCCTGCCCCTGCCCCCAAGGAGCTGAAAAGGGAAGGGCCCTGAAGGTAGCCAGAGCAGGACCAAGAAAGGTCCAGCCAGTAAGTTCAGAAGGGCCAGAGCCAGGCCCAGACCCAGAGTCTCACCTGGGAAGTAAGGCCGGGACAAGAAGCCAAAAGAAAGGAGCCCTCCCTGATGGCCACCATGGGGACAGAGCCCTCTGAGCCACAAACCCAGAAGAAGAGGGTGGCCCCAAAGCCTCTTCAAGCAAAGCCACAAGGAAAAACCCAGCTGGGGCACAGGTTCAGCTGTAGTTCCTGGCCGCAAGGATGAAGTCAAGCTTAAGAGAAAGGATAAAAAAACAGTTGTGTAAGTTAGATGAGAATACTAGGGGAAACCCTTGGAAAAGAGATAAGAGCTGTGGAAGAAACACTGGAAAGGACAATTCACTAAGCTCAGGAAATGCAAAACATTACCTAGCTCTCTGCCTGGAGCAAGGAGGAGCTAATCCTGTCTCAGACACCCACTAGCTGAGTGGCCCTGGCCAAGTCACTTCACCCCCGGCTGCCTCAGTTTCCTCAACTGTAAAATAGGGATAAGAATAGCTCCTACTTCCTCAGGTTGCCATTAAGATCAAATGACATCAGATCTGTAAAGCATTTGCACAGTGGGTGTCTAATAAATGCTTGTTCCCTTCCTCCTGGAAAACTGGAATAATCCAAGCAGAAGTTAACGACTCTGTGAGAAAACAAGAAATATTAAAGTAAAAAACCTGGGCGGGGGTGGGGGAGGCAAAGAAAACGTCAGCCATCACATAGAAAAAACAACATCTGGAGACAAAAAATAAAACAGATCAAGAAGCAAGAATTTAAAGATCAGTGAAGAACAGGGAAGCCAGGACCAAGACAGAAGCCGGGACATCGGTATCAGCACCAGAGGGATAGGTGGACTAGTTTCTAAATACCTGAAGACGTTGATTTGTGATTTGTTTCCAAAATAGATCAAACACATGAGAAGAATCTGAAGGTTTCCCGCCTTTGTTTTGTGTGTGAAAGCCTCTTTCACCTTTAATGTAGGTGGTAAGAGACTTCCTGTCCAGGGGAAACTGTGCTGTCTTCCCTGGGACTCCACCCCCTTAGAAATGTCCCCATAAAGACCTCAGCCCCAATTCACTGAGACGTGATCACCTTGCCCCAGCCTGTCAGGTCAGAAAGAAGTGCCCAGCACACCTCCAGCCTCCCTGCTGTTGGCGCTCCTGGTCCTTCTTCTCCACACAGCTCTGTGCAGAAACAACTTTCAGAGCGCTGCATCACATTCCAAAGCAGTCAAGTATTCCACTGAAGAAAACAATTTAGCTTATTTTTTGGCCATTCCACTATATTAAGCAGAGTAAAACCTTAAACATTTTAGTGAAAATGTCCATAATGGATTTTCTTTTATTGGAAACACTGTTAAAAGAAAATAAACATAGAAAGTGAACCCGTTTACAGATTCAAGCAGAATGGTTATGTGACCCCCGGCAGAGAGCCTACATGGAGCATACATGGAGAAGGTCACATTTAGAGGGCTAAGCTAAAAGGTATTCATATCACTTTGGCCAGTTTTGCCCTCGCTGAGAGTTTACTCTGGGAAATCTCCAAATAGAGCTTGGATATAAATCATGTGCAGTTTCCAAAAGCAGAACATTATAGTAGACAGGATATTGGTCAGGAAGATCTGGGCTCAAATCCTGCCTTCTGAACTCATTAGCTGTATGGGATCCTGGGTAGTCTCGTAACCTGTCTGTGCCTTAGTCTCCTTACTTGTAAAGGGAAGGGATTAGGTTCTTTCCAGCTCTGAACCTAGGATTCTATGAATGTAAACAACAGGGTCTCTAGCTGTTACATATACATTTAAGGTTTTAAAAAAAGGGGGGTATAAGGGCAGCTAGGCGGCACAGTGGATAAAGCACCAGCCCTGAAGTCAGAAGGACCTGAGTTCAAATCCAGCCTCAGACCAAACACTTGACACTTACTAGCTGTGTGACTCTGGGCAAGTCATTTAACCCCAATTGCCTAAAAAAAGGGGGGGGGGGCATACCAGGAATAGACTATCCCCAGAAAATGCAGAAGGTACAAGTACTCAGAGTAGCCCATAATTAATCAACAGGATTCCCCAGCAACACCCTTGGCCTCATCTTTCCATAAGAAGCCTAAAGTCCTCCCAACTTCATCCCGCCATGTTGGATCTGCTCTTAGAAGGACTCTCAATTTGAGGTTTCTAGCCAGACAACATCCTGAGGGTACCACAGGGTCCTACAGTGGCCCCCAGCCTCATGGGGTCATCTTGTGCCCTGGCTTTCCTCAGAAGCATCTTAGAGCTGCAGACCTTTGGCTTTCTCATGGCACAGCTGTGCTGCTTTTTACTTCTCCAGTGACCGAGGCCACAGAAGGGAATGGCCTCCTTCTCCAAAAGGTCCACTGCTCAGGAGCTTTCCAGCTCCTCCTAGGTCAGGTCACTGAACTCTTGAACTTGGAGTGACTTTCAGGTTACCCTCCAAAGCTGGCATTCCCCCAGGAATCTCCCTTCAGAGAGATGGGCACAAGTACCTTAGGAGGAGCATCCCCTGAAGATCAGCAGCCCTGCTTCCTGCCCAACCACTGAAGCCATGTTTCGAG